GGTAGGAAATGAAAATCCACTCTGCAAATACCAAATATATATATATATAATAAGTGGAGTTGAACTGTCAATAGAACGAGTAAATGTAATCATAATTAGTGCCTTATGATATCAACAAAAGCTACTTGCAAGCACAGGAGTCGCCGTGGGACGCCATTTTGGTCACGTGAACAATGCCTATTTCTGTCTTTCGCGTGCACGTAAAATGTCGACGATGGTCTCCACTGCGCGCGTGGGTTCTGGTTATGAATACTTGAATCCATATTCAGAGTGATACAAATTAATCGGCAAATACAAAATCGAATCGAATGAGTAGGCTGAAAATGTGAGAACCACCTTGACTGATGCAGCCACGATGATTGGTTCTACCAATAGTATCATTTTGCATAAAACGCTTGGATTGTCGAGATTCGATTTTACGTTAACTATTCGAGTCCCTTTCACAAAATTATTCTATGTACCATAAGTGCACATTGATTAGGTAATTTGCATATCATAATCGAGCGCGAACGTCATCTTTCAAGAATTTACTTCTTTCATGTTTTTTTTTTTTAATATTTGATCAGATTTATGACGATGGTAGTGAATACAGAAAAAATGTGAACTCGAAAACTCAAAATTATTCTATGTACCATATGTGTATATTAATTAGGTAATTTGCATATCCTCATTCACAGAATTAACTTACTTAATTATCTTAATTATGTTTTTTTGTGTGAATATTTGATCAAATCTATGGCCAATAAATAGTAAATATATAAACAATTGTGGAAAACTCTCCACCCAAATTTTGGCGATGAAATATATGGCATTAAAAACGTTAAAGGTGTGAGCTTAACTAGAACACATATATCGAAGACACATCGCATACAGTCAAGAACACCATTCAGCTAATTTGATTACACTGTGTCACTTGTCATCTACGTCACGTACCACGTGATGTTATGTTTCAATCACAGCGAAAACGTCAATCAATTTACAACAAAATACTGCGCAAAATATAATGTCATTTATTTATATATTTAAAACAATTTTGACGTCACGTGGTCTATAAATAGTTGGCAACATTTTAAGCATGCCCAGAATGGAGGGTGTGTCACGTGATCAGCCAAACGTGATACGGGGCTTCAAACCTGAAATTCCAACTTGAAACATAATAGTATTCTCAAGGAAAAGGCGCCCTCTCGTGTCATGTGTATGGTGCGTAGCTTTTATTTCTATCTCAAGCAAGACATATATCTTTTCAAATCGGTTGTATACTACACATGTTGTTTAAGTTCTAATGTTAACCATAATGAACTTACGTCACATACTGGGTCAACCTAATATTGCGGATCACGTGACTTAAAGTTAAATATCTGATTGGTTACCAGCTTACTAGATGGCGCCATTTTCACATTCAACGCACCATAACTGTGTGAGCGTGCAGATAAATTAAAAAAAAAAATAGAGAACCTATTTACCGCAAATTAAGGCGACATTTGCGACGACAACGAGTTACCACGTTTGTGATTTCGCACGATATCCATGATTATCGAATAAGGGGGCTAGAAATGTCGACAATTAAATATGAATGATGATAAGCGCACAATATTCATGAATTATATCGAATAAGGTGGCTAGAAACGTTCACTTTGAATTCTGATTGATGTAAGAGCACGATATCCATGAGTATCGAACTAGGGGCTAGAAATCATGAATGCCCACCTTAGTTTGTTAAAGTCACTGCATAACCCACCAAGAGCTCACATATCCGGGCATTTTCTGGGACTTGTTGCAAAGTAACAGCAATATTTTGTAATATTGTACATTTTCATGTTAAAACATTTAGAAACTTTCATTTATAGAGAATGTGTTTACCTTCAAAAAAGTACCCGGATGGATGACCTTATAGAATTCCTGCATGCTGTCTACGTAAATGTATTTACTGTGGAATACTTTATTTTCGATGGAATTTATTTTCGCTGAAAAGGCTTTTGGGGCGTTTTGCTTGGAATTTATTTTCACTGATTTTTAATGAGATTAATGTAAAATATAGGAAAAAATGTATATTCACCGGATTTTATTTTCATCCCTTCAGCGAAAATAGCGAAAATAAATTCCAAGCGAAAATAAAGTATTCTACAATATATGTAATGGTTTGTCGGAGCATGTAAAGCTGTCAAATTTGGTGTTTTATGCACGGCGGTGCAGAAAAACGTACAATGAAAAAAAAAAAAGCTTTCAATTCTTGCAGTTGTTAGAAACGACTTTACTGATTCGCCAATCCCGAAGCAATTGTCGCCGAACTCACTGAATAAACAAATAGAAGACCACGTTGTAAAATTACTTGAAACCAGCATAAACAATTCATGATATTTTAATGGAATCCCTCGGATGCAGACGCGACTTTGGCCAAGCAGCTAGCATAGGGAAATATTAAAAAATGAAATGTGCGTCGAATCGTTGTTTCCTGATCTCACCGCGATGAAACTCTCGCGCTGATTCAGCTTAGTATTCAACGGTTGCCTAGCAACACTTGATAATGGACCTGCGGTGAACATTCACCAGTGTTGCTAAGAAGAAACTGTCAAAGAAAGCGTTTTCCATTCATTAAAGATAAGCCTTGGGGAATTTAGTCATCTTTATTTAGAAAGAACCTTACATTGACATAATCTACAGTCAGAAATGTATATCTATTATAATCCCAAATACTAAATATTTAGTCTCCGAGAACTTACAAAATAATCTAACAAGCGCTCCCACGCGCCCCTCGCTTAGACGTTTGGTGTTATCCATTTGCGGAATGTCAAAACGTCTGACACCAATTATGCATATTATCTATTATGCAAATCAAAATATTTGTTTGTAAAATCTCACCTCGGCCAACCCGAAGCACACAGTCATATTGTCACGTGTACGCCTGTGTACCATTCACACCTTTGCCTAAGCACAATTTCAACGATTTTTATCTCCCACGCGCCCCTCGCTTAGACGTTTGGTGTTATCCATTTGCGGAATGTCAAAACGTCTGACACCAATTATGCATATTATCTATTATGCAAATCAAAATATTTGTTTGTAAAATCTCACCTCGGCCAACCCGAAGCACACAGTCATATTGTCACGTGTACGCCTGTGTACCATTCACACCTTTGCCTAAACACAATTTCAACGATTTTTATCTTCACTACATTAAGTAAAATGTTGTATTTATTTTAAATTATCGTTTTAATTTTGTGTGGGTCACACATCACAGTTTCCGACGGTAGTATCACATATAGTACGTCATGCGTACGCGATAATGTGAGATAACGAACACGCGAGATTTAATGAATATACAGATTTAACTACGAACAAAAACACCGAATCCCGCAGATGGTCTATAACAAATACAAGTTTCTGACGACTGCTTAGAAACACGTGTAACATACCACACTGCCCTCGATTTAAGGACAGGTGTGGAACACGTCAAACAGATAATGAGCAGACGACAGTTGCATGCGGTCACAATTTACAAAAGTAGAACATCTGTCGAATTTGTTAAATTGAGGAAATGCGTTGATTGAGCATCAATATTTAATAACACTCTTTCAAAAGTCATATTCATTCATTGTCTAGATATTCCTCACTGAACCTCGACGAACCTGCGTTAGTATCCGCCGCCATCTTGTATTCCATACACGACCGGAACTACGTCAATGAGGCGGCAAACGGAAGTAATTGTGTAGGCATGCTTTCACTCGAAAAAAACACGTGCAGTTCGGATATAAGGACTGAAAGTGCCCGACGGAAATAGTTACTTCTTATGAGCTTGAGTGTACACGGAAAGATACGATATGCCATTGTTTAGTGGTAATTCAGGCCCGTCGATGTGTGTTTTATTATAGATTGGACGACTACTCAAAGCTCGTCTGATTGCATTTATAATTAAATATATTTCACGGGTAAATATAAAGAAATCAATTCAAAAAATAATTTGTATAAACAGGTGAATCGGTGATTCGTGTTTTACAAACCTTTAGTGGTTACACACTGGTAACGATTTGGTTGTAACAATTTCTTTGCACGTGACAGGTTTTGTATGAAATGAATCTCGAAAATACTAGTACACCTTCCTTATAGTTCGCCCTCTATTGACAGCACGATACTAAGACGTAAGTGGGTGACACAAAGGCCATTCAAATCACATACAGTTGGCGCACAAGTGATAATAAAATAAAGGTGAGACTAGTATTTACTAAATGGGGCCGCCATCTTGAATACGACATGGAACTAAATAAACGGACAAGTTGTGAAACACGTTTTTTACATTCCCACAAATCGGAAAAAAAATACCAATCTTTCACAGGCAAACGACCCGTTGTGCGTAATATTAAGTCAACCGCTAACAAAATTAGATCGAATTCGTCGTTTTTGTGTGGAAAAATCCCTTGCATGCGAACACCTAATTACACGAAGAACATAGAACACATTCTCGGCTGTTGTTGAAACCGAAATCGTCATATAACTCAGGAACCAATCAGCGACGGTCTTACAGTTAGATATCATGGACAATTGAATCCATTCGTTTGCATTGGTTGGTTCTTACAGTGCGTCATGTTTTGTATGGGTCAGATGCGACGTGTACAACGCATTTTTTGTTTTCACTAGAAATTCGAAACCGTTTTAATATTTTTAACTGTAGATTTCTTCGCTATGATTACGTATAACCAATCAATTACAGGGATGGTAATTTGCATATACACATGTAAATAGTCAATGCTGTTTTCAAGACATAGCTCTCAAGTCGGTCTTAAAATTAGAAACTTCAGGTTAATCACATGACATTGATTCAATATTTTCACCTCATGCGGTTACATAAAGTTTACTAAAATAATGTACTGGGCATACCGTTGTAAATAATGACCTCGGTGACTGACCTGTTATCTATTTCACATGGCGTATACCATTCGCCTCAGCCTCAGCCCAGGCCGATACAACACAAATACATTAAATCAAAATCATTTGGTTTGCTTCAGGTAAAGAAATGGTGGACTATATAGCAGACTATCTTCAAACCATCAGGTTACGTAACGTCTTCCCTGACGTCCAGCCTGGATATATGCAAGATCTGATTCCCCAGGAAGCACCTATAGACGGGGAAAACTGGGAAGATATATTCAAAGACATTGAAAGAGTGATAATGCCAGGGGTATGTCTGTCTATATTATTTTTCCGGAATTTGATTATGGCCGCTGATACTGATTATGGCCGCTGATGCGAGTAACAGCCTGAATAAGATATATACTTGACTGTGTCTTTGAATGAGACAGATATTGGAGATTATATTTCGTTATTATTGACTGGATCAGGCGCTTTTCGGTTTTCTGGATATGAACTGAGCATACAGTCTTAACCTTTCCACCCTTAGACATTCTCAGCCAAATGTCGCTGCACTTGTTTTTATATTCTTTAATATTTCTGGAAATGAACTGTAATTTTGGAGCCATCAGACAAAATTTGAGTCAATTTTCAGTTTTTACTAAAAAAAATGTCCCAATCTTCTGTAGGAAAGGGCAGACTATAAACGGAACTATTTTGTGAATTTGTAATAAAAAGAGGGAACTGGTGGTGAAAAGGTTAATTAACTCACTATAAGTGCCAATTTGCCACCTTTGTCAGTTCACACTGCTCTAAAGCACCGGACTAAATTAATTATTCGAAATTCATCACCATCGTAATGAAACGTGAGGTAAATTAATTAATTTATGTGGACGCCCGTTGAGTTACTGGTATTCTTGTAATGCGCCTCGGCAACATACGAGTTTATATATCGGATTACACTCGTCACCTGCCTCGACATCACGAGAGTGTATATATTGAATTAACTCTTCCCATTGCTTCAAGATATCTCGCTCAATCTTCAGTGAATTTGTCCTTAGATGACCACGTGATTAAAAGGAACGTATCATAATTTCCGGATGATCGTTTAGTTTGATTTTGCCATTTTATTTACGAGTTTGCTTTTAACAAAGCCATGTTCTTTTTCCTGACAGATAACTCACTGGCAAAGCCCTCATATGCACGCCTATTTTCCTGCTCTGAATTCCTGTCCGTCGTTGCTAGGCGACATGCTAGCGGACGCCATTGGTTGCCTGGGATTTACCTGGGTAAGTAAAGGTTTCCATAGCAGCGCAATTTGCCTTATTGATAATACACATTCACCGTTATTCATAATTTTGTGTAATTTTTCTCAAAATATCTCCTCGCCGGAAGTCTCAAATATATCTCCATTTTTAAGTTCTAACGCATTGGGGAAATGTCATTTAGGTGAATATACAACCGGAAGTAGTTTATTCACAAGTGGTGAATGTCATAGAAATTCATCTAAATTACTGCCACCGGAGGCTAACAAATATATATATTTGTGTTGCTTGACAGCAAAGACGGTATCCGTTAGCAGGCATGACGCGAATCAAAGTGCCCATTCATTGCGAATTAGTGACCTTTTACGTTGCCCACGTATTTATAAATACTACTGAGAATTAATGCCCGGAGAAATCATCCCTCCTAACAATTGCCGATGATTCCTACATAGCTACTTTCAGAAAGAAAAAAAAACACCTACATTTATAAAAGTCGTAGTTCATTTCAAAACATCGTTGACCCAATAACACAATATATTATATATTATTTTACATCTGTCGCCGTAACGCCATAAGTTACAGCGTGCCGTAATTTTGCGGTATTTTACGGGGTATTTTCATACTACCATATTAGGAAATGCAAATACCAAATATTTAATGATTACGCGCGTAAGCGTCCTCTAATAATAAAAACAAACAAGACTGCCACCAGAGTTTGACTGAACTCCACACAAAGAAGTTCGCTGATTCTGTTCTAAACATTTCGGATTTCGGCATTCCCATGGGGTATCCTTGGAAAGAAAAGATGTAATATAATAAGGTTATTACGAGAATAGCTCAAAGTATGCACTCAGACAGTACGCCGCGCATCCAGATACTCCAGCTGTACTGTCTTCGTGCATACTTTAAGGTATTCTCGTAATAACCTCATATTATTACATATGTACTGCAGTTTATTTGGTTCTTCCCTTAAATCAAAACCCATATGCAAATGAGATCTGGGAGCAAACACAGTAGTCCTTTCAGAAGTACCGTTTTTCGAAATATAGCAGAAATCACAGTCACTCTACTAGGACTGTGCAGAAATAAACAATATTTATAGAAGTACGATGATTTTCTTTTGGGATACATGAATATATTTGCCGAGTGAAATGAAATTTGATGGTACTTTTAGGCAGTCACTTATTTTGACTAAAACTAATTTGCATATCACCCATGCAATAATGTTTTTGGTATTTTCTGGGTCGATATGGCAACCGAACTATTTTTATTTTGTAAACGCATTTTCGTCTGCTTTTTTTATCCGGTTCAAATCGTCCCATGTACCATCGCTAAGAGAATATAGTTCTGAAATTAACTTATGGGCATAAATAAGCTGACTACGATCATGAAGTCAATGACGAAAGCAGCGGACATAACTGGAAAACTGAGTAACCGCGGCGCACGTAAAACCTGCGTTCAACGTCTCCTTGACGCTGGTGCATCTACTGGTGATGCGATGTATCCTGCTTCACTCGTGAAAGTACGGCCGCGGGATACACCGCATCACTCGTGAAAATAACTTCCATACGCAACGAAAGCCACGGGGAGGGTGTAGGGCTCAGTCTCATTATGTTATGCCTTGTTTTAATTCAATGTGACGAATTTCCAAAATGTATTTTATAAATAATAAGTATATTGTTGATAAATTCCAGTCCATTGTTTCAATATTGTGTACCGGTACCACCTACCAGTGCGAACATGTATATTTTGATCAATGTTTGTGACATTTCGGAGACTTCTTTTTTGGAAGATTGTTCAGAGACGCAATCTTATTTTCATTTCCAGGTTTTTTTATGGAAGACCATAAAATAATGAAAGTAAAAAGAGGATGGCGTTTGACCTGTGACGACAATTAACATATTTAAATGTAACGAAAACATAGTTACACGTAATAGAAAACATGTATTGAAAAACTAGTAACATGGCGACCTAGTAAGTGTTACAAAAACGTGCAACAAAACCATAGTAACATGTAACAACTTCCTTGTAACATGCAACAAAAACGTGTAACGAAACAAACGATTACAATATGGCTGATATTTTCCGAATCAGAATCTCGCGAGACGAATATGTTTTATCGTGACATTGTTAGCTGAAATTATTAAAAAAATAATACGTTAAAGCGGCGTAGTCGTCACCTGTGCATGCTGCAACCGGCTATAGCTTCAAGTTGTCGATGTTTATAAGCAAGCGTCCAACCATTAGCCTTTGCGATTTAGCGTGCGTTGTTATCGTCGCTTGGGACTCAATTCCCGTGCACCCCTCGCCGCTTTAATCCAAATATGATCATTATAGAGCGACGTTGGTAAGGCTCGTGATTTACACGTCTCTGCGACACACAAGCGTGAAACCACGCGCTACAACGTAAAGGTGTGTTTTTTGGTTTGGAATTTCTAAAAAGCTTGCAATTGACATCGATTGTATCAATTACAATTCGCTATAGAAACCTCATTATTGATTCTGACTCAATCGGTTACTTGAAGCCTACTTTCGAAGTTTGTCCGCGGGAAAGGGTGCGTTTGTCTAGCTTATTACACTTAGACGCGCCAGTATTCGAGTGACTTATAGAGTGGTTTCTTGTTTCGTGTCGTGACGTTAGTTTCAGTTCAATACACATGGCGACCGATATGAGTGGATTTTGCGTCACGAGGGAAACATCGAATGACGTCATTCTTTCATTAAATTCAGTATCATCATCCTTCTCAGAAAGCATTAAGAAATCGACAAACTGAATATTATATTAAAATGTTTTTTTTTTCAATTAATTTCAAAACAAAATTGTTGATTTTAGGTTTCGACTTTAAAGATAGGTGGATTATTTATCGTATGTAGCTTGGCATTGTTTCATGTGCTGGTTAAGGCTGTCCTCGAACAAATTTACGGCAAGCAGAATTCCTCTAACACAAAAAATATCTTTTAGATAGTTTTCGACTACAACGTGTCGCAGTATCTAGCGCCAATAGCAGTACCTCAGGATACGGGCCGCATCCTTGTTAGACTCAATGTGAACCTACTTTACATTGTACCTGATTGGTTATGTGACCCTAACATTTTACCATCTGACCAATCAGAGGACAGCTTATTTATTGACAGTCCTGTTTCTAAAATGGCGACAGACGTATTTATAAGCATTGCAGTGTGGGTTGAAATTGTCGTTATCGTCTGCGCAATTTGACCAAATTTGACTTTGTTTTACGTGCCGAATGACGCTGTATTACAACACTTCTATTTTTGGTAATAAATCGTAATTTTAGTGTTCTCTTAGTACTATGTATTTTACTTATATGCTGATTTAACAAATACATGTTACATGTACGTCACCGGGTCGGAACGAAAGTGTGGCAAAACCGGTTGTTCGTATCTTGTTTTCATGTTGACATGTTTTGAATAACTGGAGGAAACAAAGAACGGTTTCGTGAAGAGAGGTTGCTATATATCCTGATACGGGGACGAGGCTTGAACGACACATATTTGGAAATCTGTTATTTTTGGCGTAATGTGGTACAAAGTAGTGGCGCCGTTTGTTTCAAAATTAATTGATTTGAATATAGAAATATATTGCCACAATATTGACAATATCACTGAATTTCATTTTAATTAGTATGAGATAAATGTTTTGTTGTTTCGGAGTCATTATTGATTTACATATTTTTCATATACAGGCTTCCAGTCCCGCGTGCACAGAATTAGAAGTCATAGTGATGGACTGGTTAGGTGAGCAGACGACATTATGAATCATTATTTTGTTGGGACCTAGGGGGTCTATCAAGTGGTAGTATGGCTGCCTTTTCACTATCAGCTGACACGAAACTTATAACAACGTGTCCAAGAATATATTCTCGGCTATTTTCGAGGCCGACCTAACCCTGTAACAACACACTAGAATTTATATTATGCTAACCATATCACCAATCCCCTTACAGCCAAAGCGATTGGTTTACCGGCATGTTTCCTTCATAACTCACCAGGCAGCCGAGGTGGCGGCGTTCTGCAGGTTAGTAGTTGTCTGTCAACAAGTCACACCTTCTCACCGTCGCGTAATGAAAATGTACATTCGCATAATGATAGTCATTTTATCCAATCAGAGAGCAGCTTGTTTGTAAACATATTTTTCCGACGAATCAAATTCTGCCTTATATATGTAAGCTTCGATTCAATTGACTCCTGCCGGACTATAATTTTCTGTTGGAAGATCTCGTGCTAGTTGTTGTAAATAACCTAGGCATGCACATACACATGTACTATTATACAGTAAACATATACACTTTTATTACACATGTTACAGGGCACTGCCAGTGAAGCTACTCTTATCGCCATGTTGGCAGCTAGAACAGACGCCATTGCTAGAATCAAGGAGGATTGTGGGAACCCTCAAGAATTTGACGAGGGCGCTGTTATATCACGACTGGTGGTATACTGCTCTGACCAGGTACAACTCTATCAATGTATAACGCTTCTTAGGCCAGTCAATAACCAAGTCGTGTTCATCGGATATTTCTTGAAGTTATTCTGTCATAAAGTTCAAAGCGAAAAGCAAAAAAAATACAAACATTGAGGTAGACGACCATCGGTAGTGAACAATGGCTAAAAATGAATAAGGTTAGGAAGACAACTGGGAATTCTCGGTCAGAGGTCTCAGCATTTGCGAGAATCTTCTAACCCGTCAACATTTTTTTTTGGCCTAATCTAAAAATAATCCAGATTGCCAGCGGATCCCATGAACACAGAATTGTTTATATGTTTGGCCTTTGGTCAGAATATGTTGTTTCTGAATGTTAAATGTACATGTAGTTAAAATATCTTTTGTGTTTCTTCGTTTTGTGAGCAAAAAATAATACTAGTACTGAACAGTGTACAGGAAAAACACGAATGTTAGTGTTACAAATGTTGCGCTTACGTTCTCGAACATTTGTATTGAGAATGTATAGATTGTTACACAACATGCAAACTAATTTCATTTCATTCGCTCTGAGTGTGTACTTTGATATCGTACTTTCCATTGACCAGAACTGTTAAATCGGGGAGAGGATAAATTCATTTCCCAAAGTGTGGGTAGCCTTGACACGGTGTACATAGATATATATATAATAGCGTAGAATGGATAAACAGGAAAACAAATGTTTTAACGCGTGAATCGCAGGCGCGTGCGTGGGTGGTACGAATACTCAGACCTGTGCCAGGGTAACGTGTTCTAGTTCAGAAATTCGCGCAATGTGTAAATCGCACGGAGCAGACGTGAATTCAACAGCACGCGCGCAAAGAATCGACACATACGTATGAATGACGTGGGAATGTAATCACAAAACGTGTGTAGTTTATTGTTTATACGTGAAAGAGATTGATTCGACGAATTACCAAATTTGAAATGTCGTCTGACAGTAAAGCTAACGACAACACGTATAACACTTTCAGCGCCATATTTTTTTCCCGCAAAAATGTTTATGCATATTTTTCCCCTATTACTATGTATTCTTTTATAATTTTGGACGTAATGTAGATAATTTCATATTTGCTGCAGGTCTTGATTACATTTTGCCACAAGTCTGGATTTTAAGAATTCGAGATTCGGATTTAACTAAAAATGTACATTCTGTTTAATACCATGTACAGTGTGAAACAACACACTGGAATTTAGTGGAAATTGGGTCCTCAAACCACAACCCCTCTATCAAAAGGACTGTGTCCTTACTATATACGTTAGTACTTTGAAGTCGCCACGCAATCGCGTTTGAATTTCACGAAAATAAACAACTTAGGAGTGTTGTATACGTCGCGTGGGACCCATGTCTATAGCACTGCGGGAACTGGTTTCAACCAGTCTTTACTAGTCAGAAGCGAACATAGCCCAACTGTATCAGGTAGAGACGCCAATGTTTTGAGAGTAGATTTTTTTTTCCTTTGCGCTACTGTAACAATCCTCGGGCGGAGCTACGTCACAGACGTTCTACGTTGCTAAGACGCGCACCACTATGCATGCATTTCTATGGGCTCTGTGCGCGCTGCTGTGGAACGCCGGTCGAGCCGGTGAAAATTCGAGAAAACAACACAAACTCAACTTTGAAGTAATCCTGAACAGCCATATTGATATATGTCACACATGTAGAGGGCTAATCTTGTTACACTGTTCAGGGGAGTCTCCACAACCAAGCCCAAAGTATAGTTCCCTGAGAGTTTTCGGGGTTTGTTTACACTAGTGATGGTTGCCAGGCGGTGGAAATGCCCGGATGTCCGCCCGAGAATAGCCACGCGACTTAAGTCTTGACACTAATATTGGCTTAACCTCACCCTGTAAAATGGCGATTGTTTCAATCCGAGAATCTTCAGATTTCCGCTTTTATTGGCATTCACGCCACGCTCTTACTGTGACACTAACTGGAGTGACGTGTGTGACCCTGCAGTGACGTCATCATTCTGGTGAGGGATTTTGTAAAGCCGGTCTCATGAGAACGAGGTTGTGTTCTCGACATCTTTTCGCATTTTGATATGTTGAATTATTTATCAACTGGATTCACTCTCTGTTGACTTCGATATAGATCAACCAGATAGCGTACAAGTTTTGAATACGTCACGTGGGTTGGTATTCACTGACCAAATCACAGGAAATTAGGATAGATCGAATTGCGTAAAACCATATTGTTTCCATGAATTTTCCACATATGGAATTCTATGTATAGCACCAATTCTACTTGGACGCTGAATTGCTTTATGACGTCATAATCGCGCGACACAAAGAAGTTAGCATTGAGAACAAACGATTTGACACACCTACGTAACTGGAACAAATGTTTAAAACGTAAAAAAAAAACCAGATTAATCATCGTCAAATCATCGTAGGTCGTCAGCTCACATCAGGAAAAGCATGATCACATACCGGAAACAGCGCCGTAGCTAACGGAAATGACGGATTAAACGAATCACCTACTTCTGAATTGGCTTTTAGAGGATTTGTGGACGTGATCTCCATGTGTATGCAATTGGTCGCATGGGAGACACCGTTGACATCTCGTTCGAATTGAAAGCATCGTTAGCCAATTGCGTCATTGCATGAATTACAATACTGAGTCATCATTGGTTTAGAAACCTGAAACAAGTGCACGTGACATGCGTATTGCATCAGATCAACGCGACCCTCTCAACTTAGCTGTGAATATTTTATTGTTGGTATCAATTCGGGAAAAAGCCTCCTTTCTTTTCGTATTAGATAGGCTATGAACTAAGTCGACTTGAAGAGACTATGCGGATATATTTTTGAAATATGCCTTCCTTATAAGTCGCTCGTTCCACGAAAATCTCGTCCAGAGCGAGAGTATGCGACTATTTTTTTGCCCGCGGACAGTGTTACATCTCCAACGTTGTCGTATTTACTGTCCCCTTGTAAACCATTACATTTGGAACAGAATACTTGTGCATTAATTTAAAGTTGAAGTCGAATATGTTCGATATGTAGTTATGCTTAAGTAACCCGGTTACTTTATTCAATTTAATTGAACGTGTTGTGCCCACTAAATCTGAAAGATATGTTCGGTTAACGCAAGGGAAGAGCTGCCCATTCAAAGTTATAAAGTCATTAGATCATACAATAAATGACTAACTTTATAAACTACTAGAACCTTTGCGTTCTATGACTGTTAGACGCGGAGAATCGAATCCGTTCCAGCAAGAAATTGTATTGAAATATTCACCAGAAAACAAGATGAACGGAGATGTTAGGAAAAGGGTGGTGGTCGCTGCGCGCGGCGTACGCGAATTTCATGTAAGCAAACATGTATTCTACACGCGTTGTATGCGTCGCTATGAGTCCCATATCGAACAGAACGCGGCGCGACGACCGCCGTCCTTCAATAATTATTTCCCAATTATATACGTTAACACATAGGAAGGGTTGCAGTTATCGCCAATGTTTTAGCATAGGAGAAAATTAACTGAACGAATCGTGTTTTACTTTTTCCATGTGTACGCAGAGACTTCTGTTCCAGTTTTACACACACAGTGTAAAATGTATCAATCCGCGGAGTCATGTAGGCAACCAGTAATTCTCTCTATTTTGAAAGCGGCTTTTTGCAAAAGATGGCACGTTTGTATTTAAAACTTTTTTTTTTTATTCCATATGCTATCAGAATAAACAATCATTCGATTTGTGATTAACATTTTAGCGGGAAACGGCAAGTTTTGAAATGGCGGACTAATATATTTAAAGGGAGTAGTCAGCTGAGTCAACTTCCAAATAAGGCTAATTTCGCTGGAGTTGAATCGGTTTAATTTTTTGGACTTTCAACATCTGTGATGGCGCTGTTTACAGAAAGAGTTTCTTTTGCCCTCACGTCTAATTCTAACTCCAACCCTCAACCCAAGCCTCGTAAGTCAATTGCACATACCCTCTAGTATACATAACTATAGATGTATAGATACAGGAGATGGCATATACTATTCAATTGGAGAGCGTTGGAGGGTACGGATAGGGCTAATGTAGTGTTGGAGTTCGTGTACATACTAACTTTTTCCGTAATTACTATTTGTTTTCATTGAACAAAAAGAACATTTAAAAAAAAACAAATATTGGCTATAGGAACATTTTCACACTGTCGTCTGCGAAGGATGATTATTGTACGACACCTGTGTTCGAAAAAACAACAACTTAATATTCCAACATATTCTTCTAGATTAACTATGACTGCACGCTATAATCTTCGCATCAATATTTATGTTTCGCTCGTCACTTCGTGATACTCATACATTTGTAGTCAAACACGTCAAAATAGCAAATCTCCAAGACAGTTGATAAACTATCTTACGTGGACAGACTGAGAACAAGTTGTAGCTTAGAACAAATGCAGTACGTATCTGCTGCGCATTCTCGAGGACGAAGCTACGTCACAGAACTAACCACGTTGCTAAGACGCGCACCACTGTACCACGCGAGCTGCTGTGGAACGCCGGTCGGTGAAAACAGCACAAACTCAGTTATGAAACAGTCCTGAATAATCAAATTGTTGAAGTAATCGTGTTACACTGTTCAGGGGAGTCTCAACAACTATCACAAAGTACATTTTTTAGAGAGTTTTCGACCGTTGTTATCGCCGGTCGTGGTTGCTAGGCGGCGAAAATGCCCGGATGTTTTCTCTCAAGAATATGCTTATGTCACAGAAAGTATGTTCGATACACTTCGACGTTTGTGATGTACGTATCGAGGGTTTGTAGATTTTCATGACACGACTGGTTGAAATAATCATATAATTTGCATAAATTAATATTCATGAGCAAAGAAAAACTCGTCTTTACGGAAAAAGTTTGCCAAAATTCTTTCAGATAGCTATCATGGCAGTCCTAAATTGACTGATTCTATTGATACGAGCTAACAAAAAAAATAATCGAAAAACTGATGTAATAGTGTTTTTTAGACATGTTTTTAATCAGAGTCCAGCAAACTGCTGAAAGTAACATTCGGTGTATTCTTTAACGTGATCACAGTAAGTTACAAAAATGGCGACTTTGACTTTTGCGCAGATCAACAAATACAAACTGAGACGTTACCAAGCTGTAATTAGGTGATTTTTAAGATGATTAGAAGGTATCGAAGGAGTCACAGGCGGTAAATAATGCAAGCCGCGCACTGGATTGTGGGAAAATCAACGTGTATCAACTAAAATCGCCATTCCGACGACCTGGAAGTCAGTTTCACGATACCCATTTCCAATCCGACGCATGGCAGAGATTATTATACGTGTGTGCATTCTGTATTTCATACATACAAACATTTTCTTACACTAAAACAAAAAACAAAAACACACACACACACAAAAAAACGCATTCCCAAAGTTATTTGCACCCGGGCCGAAATGACCCCTGCTGCTACAGTAAACCACGTGGCAAAATATTGACCACACTGGCACATTAACGGCGATTCTGATGGTCTCGTACGCACGGAATCAACTTCAAATAAGTACGCGTCGCCGTACACATGATACACCTAATGTACACCCAAGGACGTGTACATTTTGCATTTGAGCGTCCCCGTAGTCAGTAATGGTTATATCACCCATATTTCCTGAGTAGATATATAATTGGTATACCACAGACAGGACCACTCAATATCTCCACGTACACAGAGTCAATGCTAAGGTCGAGCGCCTCTGGGAACTTAAAGTTATTAACATCCAAATTCAATGTCATTTTCACTTTCAGGCACATTCCTCAGTGGAGAAAGCTTGTTTAATTGCCATGGTCAAAATACACACTATTCCCAGTGATGCTAATTTAAGCTTGAGAGGCGATGCGCTACAAAAAGCCATCGACGAAGACAAACAGAAAGGATTGGTACCCTTCTATGTAAGTTACCCACAATGCAATACGGTCACGTGACGTAAAACCGTCCCAGATTTCATTGAAGTACGATTATACTATTCTAGTAATTACAGTTGTTGAAGTTTCATTTTTCCCGCTTCACAGGACTTAGTTTGCGGAAATGATTATCTTGGTGACTTCATAAACTGAAAAGAAATACAGATACATTTTTTTTAAATATTTGGCTTCGACGTTGCTCGTTAGTATGTTATGATTTTCAAGAACTGCGATGTCGATTTTGCAGCAAGCTAACATCACAGTTGTGTTTGTTTGTTTGTAATATTAAATTTCGGCTTAAAGGCAGGTGTTTAGAAAAAACGTCGGCATGTTCATTTAATAAATGGTATGTACCAAAAATTATATGCGCATGTGGATTTAATCAGTTAAACATTTCATCAAACTTCATGATACAACTAACCAGCGACATTTATTTTCTTCAATCCTTTGCTTTCTTTGTATTCGAAAAACAAGTACGTACGGTCACAGTAACAAAAAAATCGCATTTTGTTTATTAGAGCGCAGCGGTAGCATGCACATAACGTACACTAACCACGTGCCTTCGACATCTCGCGAGATTTGAAAAGCAATTCCCGTGTTTTGCAACGCTCCATCTGAGCAGGTCGAAGGTCACGTGGTTGTGTCAATACTAATGTAGTGCGATGCGTCGGGTAGATGGATCGCATGAATCCTTAGCGATTCCCCGGATGTATTACCTTGTTTTCCTTGGGACTTCGGCGGAAACTGTGTATTTTAAAACATCGATAGTAATCGCATGGCGTCCTGGGAGCGAATATTCAACAATCTGTCAATGCTTATCTGTGTATTTATTCTTTCATTTGTTAACAGCTCTGTGCAACTCTGGGGACCACTGGCGCCTGCGCATTCGATGACATGGCCGAACTCGGTCCAATTTGTAAGTCTATGCGTATACTAGTAGTATCAGTGTGCCGCGATTATGTAAATAAATTAGCGAAGTGGATGAGTGACGTCACCAATACTTGACATTCTGTTTTTGTGAACAAATCCACAGCAATACTAAAGTGCAGTCTACATATTTTGACGTCACACACTTTTTTAATACATTTACATATTCTAAGCTGTATGTCATGTTTTATTGCATGTCGGGATACCTCCGGCGCTTACAATAATAAAAGTTGAAAAGTGTGACAATGCCAGATTCCTATAAATCGCGCCCTCTAGTGACGGAGCGCTTCTGTGGAGTCAAAATGGCGTATGTGGGTGAAGGCATTGTCGGTCAAATCGACAACCTCGATTGGTTGTTTAGTCGTCTGTCGTCTAGAATATAGTAACATCTCTCTTACGCCACAGAAGAGCTTTGTCATCTAGCTGTCACAAGAAAGTAGTAAACAGAAAAATAATATTACTTACCAAATCAAATCCGAACCAGAGCTTACAAATCTCGAGAAACATATAGTCACGTGGGTATTATGTCATTTCAGGCGAGAAAGAGAAGATCTGGATGCATATTGACGCAGCGTATGCTGGGACGGCTTTCCTCTGTCCCGAGTATCGCGGTTATCTGAAAGGCGTCGAGTACGCTGGATCATTTGCATTCAACCCCAGCAAGTGGCTGATGGTACACTTCGATTGTACCGCTATGTGGTAAGTAAACAAATGTAACACAGATGTAAGACTATCGTTTATTGGCTGATCAACGCATGAAGTTGACCGGTAATCCAACCACGGAGCTCGTTTCGTGCTTGTCGGTCTACGAGAAACAGTTGAGCCATTACTGCATATGTACAATTGATGAGCCTCCCCCACTCAACAAGTCTCACAATAATCAGTGAATTTGAGTGAAATGAAGGTAGCCATGACGATACCGGTGGAGTTGACATGGAGCTCATGGGTCAAAACAGGTGGAAGTACACATTACCAGTTTTACCATAGACGAATTGGCGTATAACTAATATAATTACTCCTTTCCCCCCACAATGCAGGGTGAAAAATAGTGCTTCCCTTCACCGTACGTTTAACGTGAACCCACTGTACCTAAAACACGATAAAACAGGTAAGTAGAATAGTCATGCCAAACAGAGCGCCTACAGAAAATTGATTCATGGATCACATGACTGGAAATTACGGCGCAGTAGTTCACACCATCACGTCACTGTACGTAGCTCGGTGCATGGTAGTCGGCTAGTAAAATGGCGGCAGTCAGCGTCGCGCTGC